ACTAAGGTATGTAAATAACAGATCCCTTACGTTTGCCAAGTTCTTCAAAGTTGACAAACCTCCCTTACAAAATGGGTCTCAACGAGGCACTCATGACAGGTAACATTGATGTTATTATCACCATTGCACAGATGAGAAAATCGAGGCCCAGAAAGGATGAATGACAAGGCCAAGATTCAACAGCTGAAAAGTGCCAGGAATTAGCCCAGGCCTTTTGGTGAAGCGGTGAAATATACCAGGAACTGCTAAGAACTAGAAAAGGGAATTGAGGGAAGACACAGGACCGCCTCCTCTCATTCAAAATGAGCGGGGGAATGGCCCAGATGGCTTTTTTTGTTTTGTTTTTGGCCGCACCATGCGGCATGTGGAACTTCCCCGACCAGGAATTGAACCCATGCTCCCTGCAGTGAAGCCGGAATCTTAACTACTGGACCACTAAGGAAGTCCCCAAATGGCTTTTCAAACCCTGTCCAGCCTCTGGGATTAAACTCAGAGAGACAGGAAGGCACCAGAGAGTGAGTTGGCAAACTCAGCGTAGTTGGGCTTGGAAGATGTCCTCAGACCAGCATCCTTAGGCAAATTCCAAGGGGAGGTGGTGACTGGGGAGGTGAGCTGCAAAGCAGGGGGGATTTTCTACCCCTTCTCTTTAAATGGGAATAATAATACAGCAGAGGCATTCTCACTGAGTGGCACGATGACCTCTGATTAAGGTAAAAAAACACAGAGCAAAGCCAGCATCAAGTCATGATGGGAAAGGCACACTCGGGGATCGTCACCACAGCCTCCAAGTCCTGTCCACTGTGGCATCTCATGACCATTAGGGTTGATTTTTTTCACCTCACTTTCTCCCTGTATTATTTTAATATTTGATAGATGACAACCATAGATAACTCATATGTAAGTGAGAAAGCATAATAATAAAATGAACTCCCGTGAGCCCATCATGAACTTAGTGTTGTCCAGAACGCTGCCAACAGCCTGGTGCCCACGCTTGTCCTCTTCCCCATCTCAGCCACCGTGTCACCCTGAATTTTGAGCACAATTATTGCCTTGCTTTGAAGACACTCTTTTATCACATTGACATGTATTCCCAAACAAAGTATAGTACAGTTTTTGAGCTTTATAAAAACAGTATCATGCTCTCTCTAGTTCTCTGGGATGCTTTGTTCACGCAACATTGTCTCTCCAGGAAAAGTAGAGAAGAATGTGGATTTCGGGGTGGGCAAAACTGGTCTGGAATCCAGATTCTAAATACTCCAGCTGTGGGATTGCATGCAAAATTTTTTAAATTAATTAATTTTATTTTTGGCTGCGTTGGGTCTTTGTTGCTGTGCGTGGGCTTTCTCTAGTTGCAGCGAGAGGGGGCTGCTCTTCGTTGCAGTGCACGGGCTTCTCATTGTGGTGGCTTCTCTTGTTGTGGAGCACGGGCTCTAGGCACGCGGGCTTCAGTAGTTGTGACACGCGGGCTCAGTATTTGCAGCTCGCAGGCTCTAGAGCGCAGGCTCAGTAGCTGTGGTGCACGGGCTTAGTTGCTCCGCGGAATGTGGGATCTTCCCGGACCAGGGCTCGAACCCGTGTCCCCTGCATTGGCAGGTGGATTCTTAACCACTGCGTCACCAGGGAAGTCCCTGCATGCAAATTTCTTAACTCCACTGAGTCTCAGCTTCTTCATCTATAGAAATGGGGCTCTCCTTTCCCCTACAAGGTCACAAAGAGGATTAAATAAAGCGTATATAAATGTTCCTATTACAGAACAGGTTTTTTAAAATTATTGAGAGCTTTTTTCTTTTTCTTTCATTTTTTTCTAGCTCAAGGGGGGAGGATCACTGATCCACAGGGGGGGAAATAGTTACAAAAGTACTTCTCCCTAGGTAATATAACCAAATCTTTTTTTCGATTAAGAACTGGGAACACAAATTTTATTCAATAAGTAAAGACATTACTAAAATATGTACTTCAGCTATATATTATGACTTGCTAATGGATAGAGGGGGAGAGAAAAAGGGAACTAGTGGGAGAAAGGGAAAAACAGAAACTATTAATGAGAGGTCAGCAACTGTGTTTCTGCTTTTTGAAATGTGAATTAACCATTGTTTACAGCTCTTCAATGGCTCCAATCCCTAAGCCTATTAAGGTCTGCTTAGAATGGGATTCTCTCAGCAGCCCACCAAGGAACAATTATTCTTTGGGGTGCAGCAACGGTGAACAGAACAATGTCAGGATGACGTCAAGTTGTGAACCAGATGGAAAGTTCGATAAGCCTGTGCCAGATGAAATTCCTTGTGATATCCCAGTCCTCAGTTAAGCTCTTTTCACACGTACCTACTTTCCTTTCATAGAGATTTTGTGGTTCACCTCTTATGGTATGGCCTTCGCCTGCTTCCAAAATAAGGTTTTCGGCAAATAAATAGGCTAGTGGAAAAAGCAAATGAAATCCAAGGTCTGGAGTCAGGAAAACCAGTGAGATTGACGTTAAAATGCAGAGCATTGAAATATTTATATGTGCCTTTGTGAAATATTAATGCAGCATCCTGCAAACATACAGGCAAACACTTGGGGGCAGGGCACCCTCAGACTCTTTGAAGACTGCCTTTTAACTGAGCACAGCTTTCATCACTGGAAATGTTCCATTCGCCTCAGGGCACACTGTGGTCTCCTGAAGTGTCAGCTGGTCAACACAGCCTTCTTCAGAACTAACCCAGAACACCTAGATCCCCTGGGCCAGCTGTTCCACCCTTCCTCACACCTGGAGGGCACCAGCCATCTGCCAGCCGAGAGGCCACAGGGACTGGGGCCCTGTATGGGATTGGCACAGATGCTTGGCTTCGGGCTGCTAGGTGTCAAAGTCATCCTCAAAGGATGCACATCTTCAAAGGCTCCTCTCTGCCCACTGCCTGGCTCTGTGCTTCCTGAGGGATTTGGGAACCCCAGCGGGTGCCTTCCAACCCCAGAGAGCTGGGCTGAGGGGGACCCAGCCAACAGGGCTTTATATAATCTGGATGAGAAGGAGCGGGGAGGAGCAGCCTCTAAGTAGGATGGAGTCCTGGATTCCCAGGACTTTACAGAATGTAGACCCCTGTAGGGGAAGTTATCAAGTCTGTCCTGTTCATTGTTCTAACCCTGGCATCTAGAACAGTCCTAGGCATACAGTGGGAGCCCAATAAATATCGGTTCACTGACCGACTTGCAGCCCATGGAGGTTGGCTGCCGAGCTATCCCCACTCGGGGGCAGTGCCCTTTGCAAAGATGGAAAGAAGCAAGCGTGACCATTTCTTCCATTTCCAGAAATGAATGACAAGGCAGGCAACAGATGAGAGCATGTTTAAAATGATGCAAAGCAAAGTGTCCATCCATTTCCTGAAAGGTCTCCCACAGTTATCAAGCTGAAGAAATGAGCATAGTACTAGGAGTCAGGAAGTCTGGGCTTTCATCAGACATTTTCACGAATTTGCTGTGTGAAGCACAACTAGTCACTTCCTCTCTCTTGGCTTCAGTTTCCTCTTCAGTACAATGCAGTGGTTGGGCCAGACAAGTTCCAAAAGGCTTACCCTTTGGTCATGACTTTGGAAACTCAAGACTGGGTTTGTCAAAGCCATTCACTGCCCTCTTTCCTAGCAGGAGGGCAGCCGCCTACTTGCTACCACATTTTACTTCCTAGGAGCGCCCAGGAGCCCTTGTTCTAGAACATTCCCTGCTGATCTATGTAACCAGCCACAGCCATGACCCAGGGGCCCTGAACACAGTTAGCAGTTCTCAACCTCAGCTATCCTCCAGAGGCTGGAGGGAGGCACAGAGCTGGATCCTCCTGAGAACTGGGACGTCCAAGAACTACAAGGCAACAGCAGAGCTTTCTTCAACAAGCTTGCAGGCCGCTCCATTTCTGGTTGGAAGTTTTTCTGAAACGGGACTACCTTTCTGTTTCTGTGGGGCCATTCTGCCCTGGATCATTCACTGGATGAGGGCCGCTGGGCCCACTCTCTCACACAATGTGCTTAAAACTTGCTGCTGACAAAGGGAAAGGATGCCTCCCCTTCTCCCCGTGCCCTTTCCTTTTCACCCTTATTTTCTTCCCCTCTTTCCTTCCTGGCACACTTTCCCTCACTCACCTTCCAAAACTTCTCTCCCTTTCTTCCCACCTCTTCCCATGTACTTTCTCAGCCTTGGTGCCTCACCCTGACCCTTTTTACTTCTGGCTTCCAAGGGTCTTCTCTTGGGTTTCTGATCAGCACCACCATTCTTTTGGCCTGGAAAGCAGGACCCAGATTTCTATGTTGTCAAAGTTCTCTTGCCATCTTCACTCAGGGGTCCAGGTAATCCATCTTTTTTTTCCTCTCCTTTCTCCCTGTAGGTCCTTCTTTGACCTTCATCAACCACATCTTCATAAAGCCCCCTGCCCCTATCTTGGCCATCGCTGGCAGGTGTATTAGTTCTCTGGAGCTGCCTCAACAAAGAAGCACAGTCTGGGTGGCTTAAACAACAGAAATTTATTTCCTCATAGTTCTGGAGGCCAGAAGTCTGAGATTGAGTCTTGGCAGGGCTGGCTTCTTCTGAGGCCTCTCTCTTTAGCTTGTAGACGGTCGCTTTCTCATTGTCTCTTCATAGGGTCCTGTGTGTCCTGATCTCTCTTCTTATAAGGACACCAGTCATATTGGATTAGGGTCTACCTCAGTGACCTCATTTTACCTTAATTACCTCTTTAAAGACCTGTCTCCAAATACTCAGTTGTGCCAGAGGTTGGGAGACACAACTCAGTCCACACCACCAGGGGTGACTGTCGTCGTAGCAGAGGGAGCACAGGCATTATATGCTGGTATCTGGGCTGATTTTCTTGGGCTGTACTCCTTTAGGGAAGGATGTAGAAGGTAGGCACCCTGCAGTCCAGAGGGGGTGGTTCAGTATGACCCTTGGAGGTGCTATCCACTCAGCACCCCAGGTGCTCCCCGACAGTCATAGGCACCTGAGCTAAAGAAAATCAGATCTGGAGAGTCCTAAAATAAGCCGAGCTTCAGGTAAACCAGAAGTTTAATAAAAGTGAAAAAAATCACAACACAGTGGGCTGAAAATGGGCTGCTTTAGAAGGTTTGATATGTTGGCCAGCATGAGACGTGGACTCCATGTGTGTTCTGGGAGGTCACAGGATTGGTCCCTCACACCCCAAGATTCATTTCACTTCTTATCTTGTTCCCATGGGGGAGGCCTCTGTCTTCCTGGTGTAAGTTTTGAACAGGCTGGTTCTGAACTCCCTCATCCTGTGAGGAAAGCTGCCTGAATCTGACCTTCACCCATGATGATGATGGTCATTTGCATAATTTTCTTAGGTCCACATCCCCATCCCAGGTTCTGAGGTTGGCAGCAGGTGAAAGTCCATTTTGTGGAGAATTAAGAGCTTTGGGAATGCTAGAGTCTCCTGCATTCCCAGGAGGTGACAGCCACAGCTCCCAGGGTCTCCTGGCTCCCCTGCAAATGCTTCTGAATCCTGCATGCCCATCTCTCTTGCAAAGTGCTCAGGGATGCAGAATGCCTGGGTGCTGGCGACAAGCGGGGTCCAAGAGTCTGCATAGAAAGGAACCCTGTGGGGCCCAGGCCTCCCTGGTGGCAACCTTGAGCCTGGCCAGTTAGGAGGTACTGCTCCTCCTCCGGGGGTGGAGGGCTTTCCTTTTGGCGATGTCCTCCTCTGTGTCACTCTCACAATTCCTCTGAAAGAAAGAAAAAAAGAGAGACCCAGGGCAAGAGGGTCAGAAGGTGCCAGGAATGCGGTCGTGCTGGGCAACCTGAGCTGATACACCTGGGTCACGGGCCTGTAAACCAGGGAGATGGACATTGAGGGGAAGCCTGTTGCTCTGTCCAGAGACCAGGGGTGGGCGGGATGGGTGTGGGGAGGGACCTGAAATGGGGCCAGACCAACTGCCTTGAGGCCGCCTTCCCAGGAGGAAGGAATACAGGCAGAGCAGAGCATCTAGGGAAAATCAGGTACCAGAAGAGGCCAAATTATAATAATAATGAAAATTATATCCGGTGTCCTTTGTGGCTGCCACATAATCAAGACCACTTGGATAGTTGGTCTGTGGGCTGGTGGGTCTCCTGAACTCAGCCTAGAGAGAACGGGGGAGGGATAGCCACAGGGATCTCCCCTGACTCCGATGGCCACCCCGCCCCCTCTTCTTTGACTGGCTTAAGCTGCACCTTTAGCTAGCCCTGACATGTAGTCTTTCCAGGGAAATGGCTTCTGTGCTCCATTTTTATGAAAGAGAAAAAGAGTAAAGTGCAGTCCATCAGCTCCTATGTGGCTAAGCCAGAGTGGAGCAGCCACCCTGGTGGTCACCGTGCCTTTTTCGAATGAAAAATGCCACATGCATCTAATTAAATTATTAAAACTATTAAACAAAGTCCTAATTCAGAAAGACTTAATGCAAGTCATAAAAAAAACCTACTGTCAGATGTTCAATTTTAATGCTTCCTAAACAAAAGGACGTATCTTTTCTTTTCTTTTTCAAGGAAAATGTCTTTTGGAAAACTGAATAATAGATGTCTGGAACCCATTCCTTTTTTTTTTTTTCTTTGGCCACGCCATGCAGCATGCAGGGATCTTAATTCCCTGACCAGGGATCGAACCCCGGCCCTCTACAGCAGAAGCGCAGAGTCTTAACCACGGGACCACCAGGGAAGTCCTATGGGACTCATTCCTTTTCCACATGTAGGGTGAGCCATTGAGCTGATATCAGGTGCTGACTGTTTGAGTAAAAAGAGGACTATTTTAAATGTTTGCACAAGGACAAAAATTAGAAAGAGTTTTATACACTTTTCAATTACTCTCTGTTCCTCTTTCCCAATGGCCAGCACTGTATCAGGGCAACTCGGCCTGAAAGGCAGGCCCGCTGTCAGCCATGTGCCTACCCAGGGCCCTCTCTCCTTCCCCTGGCCTGAGCCAGCTGGCAATCCAAGGTCAAGATCAACTTTAGCCAAATACATCCTGGACCAAGCCTGGCCATAATAATAAAAATAACTCAAGCTCTGCTGAATAGAAACTTTTTAGCATGAGTCAGAGCCATACAATACAAAAGAAAGCTGGAGAACAGTCTTCTTGTGATTAACAGGGATTTTCAGAGGGAGCAAGTCCATTCCCCTTTTACAGCAGATGAGGAAGGCAGCCAGAGAAGGGACATGGCTTGGCCAAAGCCACACAGTTGTTTTGGGTCTCTGGAGCCATAAATCCTCAAGTTCCGGACAAGAGTGGGAATCAAGAAGGGCTCAGGCTGGTGGGGGGAGCACAGGGGCTGCGCCAGGTCCCGCAATGCAGCCTAAGTGCTGTGCGCCCTGAGGCTGCCCAGGGCTGACAGCTCATTCACCTCAGGCTGCCGCCTTCCAGCCTCTTCCTGAGCAGGCAGTCACCTTCTGTCCTGACCTGTGTCATCCTAGACGCTCCTGGGGCCCTCACCACACTTGGTGAGCTTGTTGCAGTTTTACGTACATCTAAAATGGGAGGGTCTGTCAGGGAACCTCGACCAGCTGCAATACTAACACTGCATTTCGTAGCACCAGCACCGCATTTGACAGTCTACCAGAGGATTTTAAACAACAATAATAGCTGCTAATAAGTATTGAGCACTTAAAATGCCAGGCTCTAAGAATATGTCATCATTTAATCCTCATGACTACCCTGTGAGGTAGGGACTATTGTTAACCCCATTTTACAAATGGTGACATTTTGGCAGAGAGGTTAAGTAATTTCCTCAAGGTGTCACAGTAAGTGGGAGATTTGAATCCTAGCAGTCTGGCTCCAGAGGCCATGCTCTTGACTACTATATTATATTGCAAGTCTCTCATTTTAGATGTACGTAAAACTGCAACAAGCTAATCAAATATAAGATATCATCTAAATATTGTTTTTATTATTATTGGCAATCTAAAGCAAAACAGAAATGGGGAAAATCGGCAAATGAATGTAAAGCTTTCATTCTAAAGCAGATCCTTGGATCGTCAGGAATTGATTTTGGATTGCCCCCGGCAGTCTCATTGTCCACTGTTCCCACCGTCCCTGGCAGGCTACAGGTCCTCAGGGGAAGGTTGGGGCTGTGGAGTGGCAACAGCAGTCCCTTTGAAAGCCCACCAGGAAAGGATTCGAGGTCCTCCAGAGGCTCAGGCTGCCCCCTTGGAGCGCCCCCTCCCAGCACTACCCCAGTGGTCCCCTCGAACACAGATCACAGTGCAGAGCCTGCCAGAAACAGTTAAGCCCCACCTCCTCTCCCCGCCCCGCTCTCCAGGCCACACCCAGAGTTCCACCCAATCAGAGGGCACTGCATTTACCCACCAGGTCCTCATTCTGCCTGAGCTGCACCTTCTTCTTCAGGGAGCGGGTGAGGTGGTTACACAAGGAGACGATGCTGAAGGAGAGCTGAGGGAGGGGGAGGAGAGGAACCGCCAGGTGAGGATGTGCACCGAGACCCCGGAGGGAACCAGGGGCCCACCTGGCCCCCGCCCCCACCCCCAAGCCCTGACCCACCTTCCACCGCCTGCGGACATACTGCTTCTTGAAGTTCTCCAGGTTGACCAGGGACTCCCTGCGCACCAGGGCTTGCTGGTTGTCCACAGGCTGGGAGACAAAGCAGAGCATGGCGGCTGACGCTGGGCTTCGGACGGCAGCAGGGCCCCTGACCACACGCCACCCTTAGCCTGACCCCGGGACCTCCCTTCTGGGCAGGGCACACAGAGGAACCTCACGCTGAGGGCAACGGCTCCAGAAGTCTCAGCTGTTCCGGAGATGCCCTCGGCACCCCTGCGCCATTATTACCACAGCCAGATGTGCACGCTGGCTGGGCTGGAGGCTCAGCCCCTACCTCCCCGAAGGGGAAGAGCAGGAGGCAGGTCCTTCAACCATGGGTCACTCTGGGGAAGGGTCATCGTACAGCAGCCCAGGATGCCCACTGTGCACTGGGCCAGTTCTGGGCCTAGCAAAATGGATGCCTCGTTAGCAGACGGGCGTTAGTACTCCACTCAAAAATAGATGTAAGGAAATAGGGGCTTTGATGGGGGTCGAGAGGAGATGGGATGTGTAGTTGCCTTTCACTGCTTGGCAGTCAAGGCTTAGCTTAAACCCTGACTTCTCCAAGAAACCTGGCATGGCTTCTCTGAGCCTCAGTTTTCTCATCTGTAATATGGGGATAATAAATAACATTGTGTCACAGGGTTGTTTAGGATTAAGTAAATGGGGGATGTAAAGTGCTTAGCTTAGAGTTGCTCAATAAATAGTAATATATTATTGATAGCCTTCCTGTCTTCTCCACTCCATTTTTTTATAAATTATTTTATTTTTATAATAGCTTTATTGCGATGTAATTGATATACAAAAAAAACTGGACATATTTAATGGACTCCAAGGTGAGGAGTCCATTCCCTCATGAATTCCTGCCTCTTCGTAAAACAAGGTTTTCCTAGATTGAGAAATCAAGAGATGGGTTTCAGGGGTTCTGTGAACCTCCTGAAATGGTCTGCAGATATTAGTGCATAAACTTGTACATAAATGTTCATAGCAGCATTATTCATAATAGACAAAAAGTGGAGAGGATCTAAATGTGCATCAACTGATGAATGGACAAACAAAATGTGGTATATCCATACAATGGAAGAACTGAATGGAAAATCCATTCATGGAAAGAATGAAGTACTAATACATAGTACAACATGGATTAACCTTGAAAACAGCATCGTAAGTGAAAGATGCCAGACACAAGAGGCCACGTATTGTATGATTCTAATTACATAAAATGTCCAGAATAGGCAAATCCACAGAGACAGAAAGTAGATTAGTAGTTGCCAGGGCTGGAAAGGGGGGGGGAATGCGGAATGACTACCTATGAAAGGGTGTGAAGTTTCTTTCTGGGGTGATGAAAATGTCCTGGGATTAGATAGTAATGATGGTTGTATAACCTTGTGAATATACTAAAAAGCACTGCATTGTACATTTTCAAATGGTGAATTTTATAGTATGTGAATTATAGCTCAATAAAAAAAAAAAACTTAATGTATAGGTACAGACATACATTTCCTCTGAGAAGAGTCAATAGCTTCCAATGATTCTTAAAGGACTCCGTGACTCAAGGAAACGAATTCCCCGGGGCGATCCATAAGGTCCCATCCAGCTCTATTCTCTCAGCTCTGACAGCCTCCTCACAGCAGTGCCTCCCCTGGCACCTCAGTGACCTCTGAGTGAGGTCACTCGTTGATTCCTGATGCTGGTCTTGTCTCCTAACCACGCTGCAAGCACACCTCCATGCCTGTTTATTTTTCATCATGGCGCCAGGTGCCAGTGGAAGCCAGTGCATATGGCCGGCCCACACTGCTCTGGACCTGACATCTTCTAGCAGGAGGCCCTTTCCCTGTTTACCCAATCTCCCTCCTCCAGGACGGCCTCTGTGTGTTTCAAAGCCCAATTCAGACATGACCTCTTCCAAGATAACTTCCAAGAAACAGTGTCTCTCCCTCCCAACGTGATCAAAACATGTATGCTCCTTTATTATACTTAGCACCTCTCTCGGTCAGCTCTGCAGTGGAGTCATCCCACTAGTGGACAACAACAGGAAGAACTTTCTTCATGTTTTCGTCAATGTTTCCTCACTACCCACTCCTGATGCAGAGCATAAGACAGTGGGTGCTGAAGAGCTGTACGGATAAACTGTTTCCCTGAGCTGCTGCAGAATCAAACCAGAACGAAGTCCAAGGACCTGCTCATTCCCACCAGTGAGAGGCCCAGGCACCTGCATCAGCCCAGCCGTGAGACCACGGAAGGGTGTCATGACACCATGACTCCCCACAGCTCTGCCTGGGAATCAGCGAGGTGAGAGGCAGAGTCTTGGGGAGGTCAGGGAGCAGGGAGGAGAGGGCATGCAACCTTGACACAGAGGGGAGACGAGAGAGCCAGGGGCTATTCGCTCCCCCAGAATGGGACACAGTGGTTTGGGCCAAAGAGTGCAGGAGGGGAGAGAGGAGGAAAAGGAGGAAGGTAGAGAGGAGAGAGAAGAGAAAAGGATGGGGACTCTGAGGGGCCCATCAGGCTATGCCTTGCTCTCCCAGCCCTTTCCTTAACCGCCTCTCACCTCCTCCGCAAGCCCAGCCCTGGCTTTTTTTTTTTTTTTTTTTTTTTTTTGTTGATTCCCACTAGAAGCTCAGAGTTTTTTAGGCCCTTACACAGGAACACTGTATATTTATTCCAGATTTAAGCAATATTGTTTATTCCACGGAGAAGGGAAAAAAATTGTTATCAATTCCATTTACTCTAGAAAATCCTGAATTAACTGTTTTCTCAATCTCCTAAAATTGGTAAAGCATACAATGCATTTCTGTAGTAAGAAAAGACACAAAACATATTTTTGGCATATGGAAATTTATTACTATCATCATCAAAACTTATGACCTTGGTCTTTCCTTCTTGCCTTTATATAAGGCCAAAAGAGAGACATTGGCTACTTTGACAACCTTAAAGTGGACTCCAGGAATGTCACCAACAGCATGACCTTTGCGACCAAATCCAGCAACCAGAACTTCATCATTTTCCTCAATAAAATTCAAACAACCATCATTGGGTACAAAGGCGGTGATTTTTTTGCCATTCTTGATTAATTGAACCCTGACACACTTCCTGATGGCAGAATTCGGCTGTTTGGCTTCAACCCCTACTTTTTCAAGCACAATTCCCTTAGCATGAGAGGCACCTCCAAAAGGGTTGGCCTTCAGGGCAGTGCCCAAATGGGCTTTCTTGTACTGTTTATCATGCCACTTCTGGTCTCGTCGGTGGCTACGGAGCTTCCTGGCAGTACGAAGACCGCGACACTTGCCCATCCTGCCGGCGCCACTGGCCTGAGCGAAAGCCAGCCCTGGCTTTAGTTCCCACCTGGAAGAGAGATGCAAAAGAGGGCACAGGGCAACTGATCTGTGCTGAGCCTGCCTTTTCCTGGCATCAAAACCTTCCAGCAGCTTCTGGGCACTCTCAACAGAACCCAACAGGCTCACCAAGAACCCCAAGGCCTGAATCATCTGGGTCCTTCTGTAACCTGATTTTCTCCCCATCTCCTTGCTGTCCCTGTGGCTTTCATTGCATGGGTCTGCTTGCTGGTCCAGGAACCCAAGGTCTCCGGGTCTTACTGTATTTACTTTGTCATTTTGTTCCGGTCTTTGCTCAAATGTCACCTCCTCAGGAAGCCTTCCTTGACCACCCTATATAAAATAGCACCCAGCTGCCCCATGCAACTCACAGTGCCTCTGCCCCAGTTCTTCATAGCACCTGTCACTACCTGACATTTTATTCCATATTTATTCATTTGTTGTTAATTCCACTTCCCCATACCTCTCAGCAACTAGTTTCTCCTTCCCAAGGTGACTGGCATCCTGCCTTCCCAGCCCACAGAACATTTCTACCTCTAACTTCACAAATGTCTGCAATTCACCTTCGAGTCAAACCCTTGCAAGGGACACTCTTGCACTTCACTTGGAGAGTTTGATGAGCTGGAATTAGTACACTCTGGGAGTGAAGGGACCTCTTTTTGTCTACTTACTGATTGACACCCTTGTGAGGAGAGAGATGGCTAAACCCCACGTATGGAAGGTTGACAGGCAGGCTAGGGGAGTCCTGCTAGTGAGAATCCCACCTTCCAACTGGTCCAGCAGTGCCAGCCACTGAGCAGAGATGCCCAACTGAAATATCACATCGGACCATTCCCAGAGGTCATTCATGGGAGGTGATGCAGTTACTTCTAGGGCCCTGTCTATATGCTACACAAAACAGCGTGAACTCTGAGGAAGAGGCTATAAACCTGTCAGGCTGGCCTTTCCCAATCAATGGGCCTTGTTGGTTGCTAAGAGGCTCACCAAGCACTGACACTGTCATCTAGGCATGAAGGCAGAGAGACATAAATTCTGCAGTGAAATCAGTTCCCAGAAGGAATGTGGCACCAACACGTTGGATTAAATTCAGGGTGTGAGGGGCAACAGAGTTTGTTCCGCCTTCTCCTGACCCTCCCCCTTCTGCGAACAAACAGTGCCCACCTTCCAGCCTTGTGGTCCTTCAGCGATACCAGAGAGTGTGGGCGATTTTGACCAGGCTCCTAGGAGCATGTTTGGTGTCTCAGAAAAATGTTGGGAAGGGAGAAAAGAAGACAGAACGCTGTGGCTAAAGTCAGGTTTTGTTCATGCAGGTGCAAGTGTCTCTGAAAAAGTCCATTGGGGAGAGCTAGGCAGCACCGACATCCACAAAGCAGGGAGACGAAGCAGCAGCCATCCTCCCAGGCATAAAGACAGACCCTGGCTTTCCAGAAGAGGCACTCCAAAGACTTTCTCTAAATACCAGGCCTCCATAAAAAGAAACGAAATTGAGTTATTTGTAGTGAGGTGGATGGACCTAGAGTCTGTCATACAGAGTGAAGTAAGTCAGAAAGAGAAAAACAAATCAAGTATGCTAATTCATATATATGGAATCTAAAAAAAAAAGTGGTACTGATGAACCTAGTTGCAGAGCAGGAATAAAGAGGTAGACATAGAAAATGGACTTGAGGACATGGGGTGGGAGGGTGAAGCTGGGGCGAAGTGAGAGTAGCATCGACA